TGTCTAGGTGCCTCCTGGTGTGAAGGGGTTAATATGTTCCTAACATATTCCAGAGCAACATTAGATACAGTGGAAAAATCAGGTTCGCAAATGTGTCGGAGGTGGGAGGCAATGTTTAAGGGAGTGGACAGACAGCCTCTTTTAATTCTAACTGAAATCCTAGGGCCAGGTAAACTAATCATGATTTTGTAAAACACTTCCTGAAGGTACTTGTCTGGAAAACAGGGAAACGATTTTTTGTCTTTCATGTCAATTTTAGGAAGGCGAAGTCAAGACAGAGTACCGAGCCTGGAACCCCTTCCGATCCAAGCTGGCGGCGGCCATCTTAGGGGGCATCGACAAGATCCACATGAAACCAGGGTCGAAGGTCCTGTACCTGGGGGCAGCCTCGGGCACCACGGTCTCACACGTCTCGGACATTGTTGGGCCCGTAAGTCCCTGCTGCTTCGTCTTTCCCGCAGATCTCGAGCCAGTCCCCCTCCTTGGCTTGCAGCATCAGGATTTCTCGGGATTCTTCTGGATCGCAGGATTTTTTTCGGTCCAAAGAAAATTGGGATTTTTCGTGGTGTAATCAGCCACTGGTATAAACAGGAATATTTCAATGCAAGATTTGCCGTTAAAGATCAACGTAAATTCCAACAGCAAAGCTTGGAGGGAAAAGATAGCGGCCAGAACCATATCCTTGCCCTCTTCTCTGCCCTCAAAATATGCTCAATTTTATTTGGTACTAAAAGAGGTCAGAAGTTGTCTGTTTGGACATGTGACATAATGGTAAGGGTTTGTAGTTTCCGATTCTAGGGTTGGGTGGTTCGAATCCAGCTGGTGTGCAAAGCCACTTTACCCATACATTCCTGTCTCTGACCAGGAGTTAAATGGGTCCTCGTTTCCGCTCGTCTGCAAGAATGAAACATTGAAAAAAAATCTCTGGGCTGAACCCCCCCTTGGAAAATTCCTGGCTCTGCCGCTTCTGTTAGATACTTCGTGATTTATATATGGTGCGATGTTATTTTCATTATTACACTATAGTTAATTTGAATGCAGAGCGTCCAGGTGAAGTTCATTCTGAAAGCCCATTCTCTGTGACCAGTTGTCTCTGTTCAATCAAAGATCTTCGAAACCATTTTTCATCCCGATTGAGTACCTGCCCAATCACTGTTTGTTTTTTTTAAATGGAGGATTTCGATATTTATGTGCTTAACAAAGTTGCCACTTTTAAACTCCATTTCCCAGATTTTTTCATTACCAAACTCAGCACCCCTAACACATTTGAAACGCTCGAGTTTTGCATGATCCAAAGCTTGAAAATAGCAAGTCGGCAAGTTGACTTATCCTGCCCAAGGAGACACGTGTTATTGTCTGACCAATCAACTGTCAGTTTTTGTCATGGTTGCTCCGCCCACCCTTGCAGGAGGGCCTCGTCTACGCCGTGGAGTTCTCCCACCGTTCGGGGCGCGACCTCATCAACGTCGCCAAGAAGCGAACCAACATCATCCCCATCATCGAAGACGCCAGACACCCGCACAAATACCGAATGCTGGTCGGTGAGTACCTTTTGGAGAGTGAGTTTTTCACTCTTTCGTCTATAGAGAGCATATCTCATCTTAAATAGTGTTTAATTTTGGAATTCAAAGCGAATACATCACAACACGTGTACACCCGTGCTCAGTTCACCTTTGGTACTTTTTTCGTCTCGCACAGGGATGGTCGACTGCATATTTGCGGACGTGGCACAACCCGACCAGGCGCGCATCGTCGCCATCAACGCTCACAGCTTCCTGAAGAACGAAGGAAACTTTGTCATCTCAATCAAGGTAGATGAAGATTAGAGTGTAGGCGAACGGCACAGAGCAAGTTTGACTAAGGAAGTGGTTCAAGAATTCATGCTCTGATTGGTTTCTTTCCGAGATACAAATTTTGGGCAACTTTTTATCCCTCTTTAAATAAAAAGTATGAAAGCTTTGACATCACCTGTTGTTGACCTGCAGTTAAGTGTGCAGTGTTCACGTATTTAAAATTTTCCAGGCTTTGCTTGACAAAGGAGGGAGCTCTTGCTATGATGTCTTCAGAGCTCAGGGTGGTGACATGTGCGTCTCAATTGCTGGAACCAAAATGGTGGATTATATGTCTGTGCACTTGTAACGAGCAGCCATTGTGGTTCCAAAGTCTGAAGTTGGCGCCACTCTCTAAAGACTGATCTAGTGACAAGAATCAGGAGCCATCACTGCAGTGTCCCAATACGCGTGAATAAAAGAGATGCACATTGAATGCTTCCTCATCAGCCAGTTGGGGCGTGCTGCTAACCAAAATGACGTGTTTGTCAAGTTTAGGAATGCGCGCCCTGCGGGACACAGCAGTAATGGCATCAGGTAACCGGTCTATATACAGCTCTGGATGTCATTCCAGAAAGAGACCCAAATTTCGGCTCGCTGACAAGCACCGCTTACCGGCCTGTTGTCTTGAACTAAAAAAGCATAGAAAAGGACAGAAAAATGTGTGAAGCAGTCGATTGAAGGAAATCACCGAAATCTTGCAGGCTTCGTGCTCGGTGTGGCGAGTGTCCTTTTCAGCCTTGAATGTTGACCGTGTTTTACAGGCCAACTGCATCGATTCCACCGCCCAGCCGGAGGTCGTCTTCGCGGGCGAGGTTAAGAAGCTCCAAGCGGAGAAGCTGAAGCCGCAGGAGCAGCTGACGCTGGAGCCGTACGAGCGAGATCACGCCGTGGTGGTAGGCGTCTACAGGTCAGTATTTTATTGTCGTGATCCGAAAAGGCTTTGGTCTTCTGAGGGTGTAATACCAAAAGAGCCCGGTTACGTGAGACCATCTCACAGGTAGTGGAGGCTGGAGGATATCACCCCCCTTGCAAGAATGTGGCTGTTGCATGGCCAATTTTTTTAAAACTTGCATGTAAAGATATGCCTTATCAGGATAAATGTAAACTTTCAGCTCAATCCAGATGTATGATTTTTGTTGTTACTTTCATTTGGAGTTCAAGGCTACACGCGTGCCAACTAAGCCTGTTCGATATGACGATATTTCACGGTATTTCGATGTGATGTTGATATCGGATATCGTATCGTTCGTTCAAACACATATCGGGATATCGTGCAAATCGATATGCCGAAAATTATCGCGATAAGCTCCAAACGATGTACTGTACATGTCACATAGGGAAGTCAATGCACCGTGTGTTGAGCCCTGCGTTACTGCATTTAGGCCAGACAAATACTCCATTGAAAACCTCCAACCACAAAGTCACTGTTGGCCCCAGCAGCTGCAAGGGTCTTCAAAGTATTAGGGGGCAGAACCAAACCAACAGACTGTACGCACGTGTAATGTATTGCACAGTAAACTCCAGCTACACGTAAGTCGGCTCTCTCACTCGGAACTTGAGATTGTCATACAGTGTCCTGCGTGCCGCACACATACACAGCCGTTTTCTAATGCTCAACTTTGTCTCCGTCTCGGGCTCCGTCTCCAAAACCAATTCCCGATTGTGGGCCTGACGTGTTTCAATCAAAGTGAAGAACTGTAATGTTTGGCTCCTTTGCATCTTACTCGATGTTTTGCGCCACTATCAAACTTGCTATTGCGCTTACAACTTCAAAGTCGGGTAATAGAAAAAAACAGTTGAAGCCTGAACGGAGACAAAATCGAGTGGCACTTGAGACTTTGTGATTTCGGTCGTGTTTATTTCATGAATGGAAAATGACGTCATCACGATAATATCGGATATCGCGATAAGAAAAGAACTGAATGTCAAACAGGCTTATCCGTGTGCATGGAGCGTGGCAGTGGAAAAGCCTACATTGTTGGCTGACCTATCTCAGAACAATGGGCGCTGCATTTTCACAGAATTGATATCCAAAGGATGGCAAAGATATACCAAAAATCTCAAAGCGCTGAAAAATTCATGAAAAATCCCACCGAGGTGATATCGGAAAAATTGCTGTGGATGCCACCCCCCCCCCGAACTCTTTGAGAGTCCGGCGGTTGATTTCAATTCTGTGAAAAGTAGAAAATAGTTAGAGTTAACCCTTTGGACCAACATTTGCCCATGGTGTCTTTCAATCGGTTTTTTTTGTTATTTTTATTTCCAGACCGCCTCCCAAGAAGAAGTGATCTTCCTCCCAGCAACTGCTGTCTCTAATCTTCAGGCCCGCTGTTTTAACCAGTACATTTTGTTTTTGTTTTTTTTTCCCCTGAATTTTTCCGTAACATCCCTTTCCTGGTTTTGTCCTTGTAAATCTCTTCATTTTTCATTGTAAAGATGTGATTGTTCCTTTTGGCCCTGTATGGAGCGCAGTTTTCGTAGTTATTCATGTAACGTTTCTGACTTCTAATAGCAAAATGAAAAGGCCTGCTTAGTCCATGTCCCAATGATGTGGCTGCATCTTGAACTTGTACACGCTTCTATGGGAAGTGGTTTCAGCCGTCACCATACACTCGTCCATATAAAAGCCGCAGCCAGGTAATTCAGACACTGCTGTGTTCCACCCTCAACATTTTTATTGAGCAGTTGAACACCGAGGATACCTGCATAGCACAAACCGGTTACCAACCAATATCCCGTATGATACGCACGCTTATTGACCAGCGCCTACCACATTTATGCGAAAGCTCAGAGTTTGTGCTAAAGGCCTCATTAAAATAATATTGAGCTTATCATCAGCACCACCATCTGAAAAAAATGAGGGCATCCATTCGTTTTTAGTTGAAATATCAGAAACTTTATTTAAACAAATTATCCAGCAAATTTCATGGCGACGTTGTTAGAAATGAGTGTTTCAAGTTGGAATCACTTTCTGGATGGTAGCAGGATGACAGTATTGTTTCTACCTGCCTCAAAAGGCGCGGTACTCCCCCCCCCCCCGATATTTCAGCCTAGCGATTTGAAATATTCCCAGGCCATTACTTGTCGGCAGAAGCAGGGTGCCACATACCTCACCATCATCCAATTTCCAATTTGGGGACTTCAAACTACATTGGAGGCAAATTAAAATACCTTGGGGCAAACAAAAATGCATGGCTCGTTGAACTTTAGAAAAGGTTCGGACGGGAAACCAAGATTTTGTTTTATTTGGCCCAGGCACGACTTTCTACTTCTTCTGTTTGATTCACCATTACTTAAGACCCGGCTCAAGTTTGGCTGGTAATTCACCTTGCACCTCAACAGAATTTGGATGTGAATGTCGCTGGTACTCTGTCTCACCAAGGAATGGCAACCATATTTTTTAAAAGACGTCAGTCTTGAGTGACAGTTTCCAGGAGAAAGAGTCACACTCACAGAAATTACATGTAATGCTTCGATGTGACTAGCGAGGAGATGAAGTTAACATTTCTTCAACAAGCTGGTGTAAAATTGTTCATTATTTGCAAAACAGACATTATTCTTGTGATAAGTAATAAACGATCACTGAGTTTTCAGAATTAAACCTGTTTCTGCTCATTCATCTGTATAAACCATGAGATCTTGTTTTGCGTGTTTGGTTATAAAAGACAAAACAAAGGAGATTAAATAGCTTCACAGACTGCGACAGCAACAATGTAATCCCCCCCAGTATGAGCAAGACATTTGGGGTCATAAAAGAGTAGCGGCAGGGGAAGATCTTGGGTGTGGGGTTAGGGCAAACTGATCCCCCCCCCAAGAGTAAAAATTTGTTTTACTGGAAAAGGAATCCTCGCCCCTCAAACGAGGTGAAAGCTCTGTTTTTGAAATGCTGGCTCTTTGTGCCCCCTGCCCGGGGCACCCCCCCCCCTTGGGCATTGGTCTAAAGTCACACCACTAGCGGGGGAAGGGGGCAGTACCCCACAGGTCCTATAATATGGGGTTTAATGGATCAGCCTGTGAATTTGTTTGTTTGCTTTGGGTTGATGCCTGATGATCTCACAACTGACTCCCCCACTTTGAAAATCGTTCCGTCGCCGCAGTTCTTGAGATACGGGGTTTTGGGTTGGGTAGGGGGTATGGGGGCAGTATTTCAGCTCGCTCGTAGTTTTGCTCAAAGAATTAAATCAGAGAAAACTAGGAGACCGAGTTTTAAAACAGTTTTTTTTTCTTTTTTTTTGACGTGTTTTGGTGGTGTTTTGTTTTTCTCTCCCTCCAGATTTTGTTCCTTATAAAAACTGGAATTTTGTCCAAGATCAAGCGGTGGACGAATCTCTCGTCTCTTGCTGATACTTTAATGTCTAAAATGAAGGAAGTGTAACCCTAGCAGGATGACAGTATCTGTTCATTGCGACGCATCTTGTAAGAAAAAAGGTCCAAACAGAATTACACATTTCAAAAATCGGGGGAAAAGCAAAAATGCAAAAAAAAAAGAATATTTTGAAAATAAAATCAAATTAGATAATGGAAAAGGAAGCAGAAATAAGGAAACTTTTTTCAATTCAGTGTAGGACGACAAAAATCCCTCGAAAGACAAATGGAAAAATCAGTGCCCTTTGACACCTTTTAAAAAATGATTATTTTCAGTTTTTTATTCAATGCCCGCATTTTGCATAGATAGGCCTAGACATACCGGTATTTGTTACCGAGACAGAGCACTGGCGACGTGACCAGTTTAAAGTTTAAAAAAACAAAGCAAAATAAATAAATAAATAAATAAAAAAACACGGATTCCTCATAGATATAGTCACGTGATCACTGATTCGTGCAATTTGGCGCTAAGGCGGGTAGCTGGGACCAAAAGGGAGCTGAAAGAGTTAATTAAACACTGGAACTGCATTCTAGATTTTTAGCATGGCAGTTCCAATCAATTGGTAACAGCGCCACCTATTGTCGTGTTTTTAGTCGCTGGCGATTCGCGATCAGCGCGTTGAAGTTAATTGATATCAGAGGCAAATACAAAATAAAAAACAAACGCTTACACATTCCTATCACGTGTAATTACCGTCATGCCAACCCCCCCCCCCACCCTTCCGCGCTCATCATACTTCCAACGCTGCCCTGCCATTGAAGTTCTAAAGAAATAAAAAATAATAGTAATAAAATTGGGGAGGGGGTAAAAAAAATATAGGGTTTGTTCACGTTCACCACGCGTTTCTTCACCTATGGCCACAGTTTTCTGTCCGAAATACCATGGAAATACTGTCACCCTCCACGTTGGTTAAAGTGAGTCATGTACCAGTTTCGAGAAAGTCACCACGTGTTTACAACGGTTGGTTGCGCAATGACTCAGCCGTTCACAAAAATGATAAAGCCGGTTACAATCATCCGAACAGCTAGTGTTGAAAACGTGCCTTACAGAACTTTAACCTAAATTAGTTTTTATTTCTGTTAAATGACTCGATAATTTCAACAATCATTTCTGGGCAGAAGCACCGTCTCCAACCATGCTCCGGCCACATCTTAAGTACAATTTTCGCGGCAAAACCGTGTTGTAGCATCCGGGAACGTTTACGCGACTTTTGTTTTCGTGAATGACATCATCTTCATCCGGGCCTTTTCAGTCCCCGTTGTCATAGTAAATAGGCGTGGTGTTAACGGAGATCAAACGCACCGACAAATGATTGGCGGTCGCCACGGCTACCGGCCTTGAGGTCGCGTCCGTGATGACGTTCGAATAAAGAACGACGCGGTAGACTTTCCGCCATTTTATTTTTTGGCGCCGAACTCAATCGAGAATCTGCATTGGAAAATAATCCCACACCGCCGATGCGACCTCTGTTGGTGAGGGGAAAAATTATCACAACGGCGGAATAACTTCATTCCTGGATTCTAGTGGAGTTTTCCTCAACTATTTAGGTACTTTTGATGGTGATCGGAGGAGAGATCAGAAGGGAGCCCGACCGTCAACAAACCCGTTAAATTTTCATTTTCGCGCGCCACTTTGCGAGTGGCTCATCAATGTGAGTGACCCCTGGACACAGGGTTTGAAGAACCCTGGGGGATTTCTGACCTCGGATCTGATTAGCACCGGTACCAAAATTGAATACTTAACTTTCCACCAGACAGGTAAGTGTATTTTTCTGACATTAATTCTCCGAAAGAAGCATATTTTGGGGTGATTTTCCTGGAGGGCGCTACCCCCACTTTCTGCGGTCGAGCCGGTCATGTCGGCACCTGACTACCTTCGTCGGTCATCACTTCCTTGTTTACCTTTTCAAACCTCGTGTTCAAAATCTTGACTAAAATCTAAGCAATGCTACACACCACTGTTGACTCGAAAATACAGACTTCCCCCCTGTGTAATTGTTAACCATGGGCGACTTGATGGGAGAAATTATCAGTGGGGTAATTGGATGATGATGCATTGACTGACTCAGCCGGGCCGAGGCGTGAATCACGCAGTGACTGTTTCTGCCGTCTGTGACGGCATACGCCACTAACTCAAACTTAGCTAGTAAATGCCTTTCAGACATGTCAGTTTTCATTAAATTCACATCCATTCTTGTAAATGATGTTTCAGAAGTGGTTATGGTGTAGTTTTGATGGTAGTTAGTGCAGGTTTTGACAGTGTAAAACCGCGGAAAAACACTGGCTGAGTTTTTGCATGCTACGTACACAGTCCGTGAACATGTACACACCGGCATCGTGATCTATGTCGCCGGCTCTCGATCTTCCCCCTAAAAACTTCCCTCTAAATTCCTCTTTTTCCCGCGATGAGTCGGCATTCGGTACTTGAGAAACATACTGGATAACTCAGCAACGGTTTGGCGTGTGACATTCTGGTGTAAAAGGGACAATTGGACCGTTTGCCGGGGGAAATTGGGTCGACCTCGTGGCTGTGTTTTGGTTCGTCAGCTGATCGACGCGGCGTGTAATGGAGTGCGCAAGCCGCGTCTGCCATGTCTTGGTCGAGGCCTCATTTGCATAATGGCCTTCCGCGATTTTTTTTCGCGCTGTCATCCTCTCGGCTCTGTGGCCTCAGTTCTCGTCTGATAATCACGACACACTTTGATCATGGTGAAGGCAGGCACGTTCGGGAAATCGGGTCAACGGCTCCGATTTCAAGACGGACCGTTTTTGTTTAGCTTGTTTGGTTGCGTGATCGCGGTGATTAGACATTAATAGTTCACCTTGCAACTTAACATGACAATGGGGTTTTTTGTTGATGCGCAATAGAGGAAGTACACGGCTGACGAGTAAAATGTTTTCGTGCGTGCCAAATTTGTCGTGAATCTTTTCTCAGGTTTCATCAAGTTCTAAAGTTTATACTGACTAAATCTAGGGCCGTTTATGTGAATTTCCACTTCGGCTTGACTTGATGTTCCCTGTTACGGTTGGAAAATGTTCCAGCTGACTCAGTAGCACATCTAGGGGAATATTATAAATGCCTGTAACATGTACATCCTGAAAAGGCTGTTACAATATATGTTTGACCTCCCTCTGGAGTCTTGCAAATATAGGGACCATTGCACCATGATAGGTGAAAATATTTGGCATAGTTTCACGCTCTGTGTTGTTGTCAACCTCTGTTAGCTCGGAGGTCTATGCATTTCCCCCTTTGAAAGGAATGTTTTTTTCTAGTCCAGAAATATAATTCATTCTTGCTGCAGATCTGGATCGGGAAGAATCAGCAAGCATGCTTTGACATGAGCATTTATTTCGAATGTGACTCATGGTTCTCTTTCTTGTGCAAATTATTGTTAATACGCTTCGACTAGCGTTTAGCTGGCGACCCCAAAAGCGGTTGCATGTGATTGTAATGAATTACAGATAGGGCTGTGCTGGATATCGGAATATTCAATCCATTATCGACTATTCAAATGTTGTTTTCCAAATTTAAATATTCAAATTTAAAATTCATGAAAAGACTAGAGGATGTTGTTTTAATTTAAATGAGAAAAATTGCACTATGGAGGCTTGTTTCAAGCAGATTCAAATGAAAAGCAAAGGAAATCTTATGATTAAACTTTATAAGTAAATTGTTCATGAAAAAATTGAAAAGGAATAGCTATTTCTAACAGGACAAGAAGAATTGTTGGTCTCTTAAGTCTTGCCAGTCGTGGCAGGAGATACTCCTAGAAGTGAGAAGCTATTATATTGATCATAATGTACAATTGTGTGCGCCATTGCAACTGATTTCATATATGGTTTGTTCATCAACAATCTGCCGGTTGGTACGACCGAATATTCGGATATTCGATCAATATGAAGGTGAAACATTCGAAAACTGACCCAGCCCAAATAACAAGATTAACGCAAACTCCTGAACACATAGGCGAGATCTGCAATTTGCCTCGTGAATGGAAGTGCACATAAGCTGTACACCCATTCCATCCTCGTGTAGATTAACCTTTTGTCCTTTTTTCACAAAAACAACGGAAAAACCAAAACTTGATGAACATGTGACAGTTTTTGGATGAACTTGTTTATTTAAGGAAGTTCATGTACCGGTATTTATAAAAGGTCACTGCACTTTATACACCCTGTCATACATTTTTGTGAGCCAGATTTTTGGTTTACTATTTGACCGTAATGCTCTTTAAAAGA